TCTCTCTCTGTCTCTCTCTCTCTGTCTCTCTCTGTCTCTCTCTCTCTGTCTCTGTCTCTCTCTCTCTTTCTCTCTCTGTCTCTCTCTCTCTCTCTCTCTCTCTCTCCTCTGTAAATTTTGTAAAATTGTAAATTTTTTTGTTAGTGGTTTAAGATTATTATGGAGATTTATCAACATCAACAACACTTGGTTTAGGAGCGGTGCTCCTGTCCTGTTAGTGGGTTGTAAAGCAGTATCCTTCATGTGGTGAAGTGTTCCTGCTGGTGCCGTTTTCTTATCGGTACTATCCCTCTTGCCATTCCGTCTATAATTTATGCCATCCATGGTAGACATCGTTTGTCCATTCCTTTCACATGTTTTCTCCATTTCCTTTGGTAATTTTTGATTTCTTCTGCTAAGTTTCCTGTTTTAAGTTCTTTCATAATTGTTTCTTTTCGAATTTTGTCTCTACTTGTTACTTCTAACACTGCCCTTGGAAACTTCATCTGAGCTACTTCTATGCATCTGGTATCCTTTATGCCCATTATCCACATTTCTGAACCATACTTTAGCAATGGTTTTGACGTAATATTACAGATTCTCAAGATGGTTTCTTTTCTCATATATCCAAAATATCTCTTTATTATTCGGTTGTTTCTACTATATTTTTGTATTTTTTCTTGTATATCTTTCTGGTTCAATCCAATTAAATTTCAGAGATCTTTAAAGATGGTTACTAGTTCAATTATTGAAATTTCTATTTTGTCTCTAAGATATTCTTTGTCGTAGAAGGCTAGTATTTTAGTTTTCTGGCTTGATATCTTAATTTGATGTTCTTTACTTATTTTGCTTCACTGAAAGGCTGCTTTCTTCAGTGCGTCTTCTGAGTATGTTTTGGAGATTTTTGGCTATAAATATTTACTGAAAACAATGTTTGAAGTTTTATGGCAATTACCAAGTTTCGCAGGACAAATAGAAAAACCTTTCGTTCTGTTGAATCATTGTGAATGGAATAAAACAGTGTGCAAGTGTTAGGAGTTTACCCTTTAAAGTTTTTACTTGATTATGACTTAAGTTCACTTAACAGTCTAGCATGGGTCTAATTTTCATTAAATCCGCTGCTATTTTGAAAGAATTGCCAGGGTTTAAATTTTTTCAATCTATTCCTACATCTTGAAATTGTAGCAAAGGATTTCTTTCTTCAATACAATCTATTTCTCAACATTAGATTTTTTAAATAATTTTATGTGCATTTTTTCATAAAAATTAGTTGTTTTTGCTTAATTTTATGTTATACCATGACAACATTTGTATGTGTTAGAAACACTAAACGTTATGAATTGATTTTCACACAGGCAAATATATTTTTATTTAAACAGTTTGTAGGCATATTACACAGAATTCAATGTCAGAAAGTCATTTTTATTAAAGCTTTTGAATTTTCAATAAATCAGTTATTTTCTTTTTCTTTTTACTTCTTGAATTTTGTATTGTTAGGAGTGTTCAAGGTTAAGAGTGTGATGGCAGTTTAGCACAGAAGTTGCAATATTATAATATTTCATAACCATTACCAATGAAACTAGAAAGTATTTGCTGTTGTAGTTTTTTAACTAGTTGTTTTATTGACTCATTTATAAATTATCAGTAATTGTACTTTAATTTTATTGGAATATTTTTGATTCCACTGTTTTATTGTAGGTTCAAGCTTGATCTGGAAAAATTCTCCAGTAGGGTATATACTTTCTACATATTACAAATTTTTATATCATGATATCACTTATGTTTGTATGCAGACTTTCTCATGGATGATACAAATGGAAAACAGCTTAAAGCAAGAATCTACTCAGCTGAAATTGGATGATCTAATTGAACGATGCAAGCTGTTTCTTCAGGTTTGTTGTCATTCTTAGATGAAGTAAATATTTTTTTGTAAAAAAAGTTTTATGTGTTCAATATAACAAATGTTAATTTTCCACTTCAATGTTATTATGTGAATATTGCCATTTCATAGCAGAACCTTCAATTTAATGCACATTTCTCCATACCCTTGCCTTATCTCATGGCTGAAGAAGAGATGAAAAAATTGAAAATGATATGTCAAAAAAATTAAATAACTGAATTCAGTTGTGATTAATTGATTACAGTATGTAAAGAAACTGAATGTCTGCTGAAGGAACTCATCCGGAAACTTGAAAAATTTTTGTGAAGCACAGTATAGAAGTTTGTTATAACCACCTTAAGATGCATATGCATTAAAAGACTATGGCTGTAAATATCTTGGCACCTGTGTTTTTGTGATGAATGTTGCTGAGAGAAACAGTTGTTGAATATTAAGTTGGAATAAGAACAAAAAATAAATAAGTCAATATATTTTGAATAAAAAATATCAAAACTGAAAATTTGAAGTGTTTGTATCCATGAAAGGAGAAGGCTTTCAAAAGAAGAGATAATAGAGAAATTTGAAATTGATTGTACACGGGTTAATATTTGATTTATTGACCTCTTTTATGCTAGTTTGCATCACTATAAACTTCAAAACTGAAATGCTGAGCATTTCTTTTAGGTAAAGTGTAAATAATTATTTCTCCTGTAGTTTGTGTGAGCTTTGTTTTCCAAGAAAATTTGAAGTATTTTCAGATATTGACTTTTAAGATACATGATTGTTGCCCTTTGAAGATAGTAAATTCTTAAATAAATTCACTGGGTGTAGTAATGTTGGTGCCCAATGTTTCATATATTATGAAAAGTTGTGATAGTGGTTTAAATTCTCATGTTTGCTTATGCAGTGCAGAGGAACAAATGTTTTCACCAGAACTGTGTGAAGTGTGTTCTCTCACTCCTCACTTACTCCCCCTCTCATCCCACCTCTCTCTCCCCTCCTCTCTTGCTTCCCCTCCTCACTTGCTCCCCCTCTTTCCTCCCCTGCTCACCTCTTCTCTGCCTTTCTCCCCCTCCCCCTCTCCAATCCTCTCTTCCACCCCTTCTCTCCTCCCTCTCTCCTATCTAAACCTGCCTTCCTCCTTGAAGATGTTCACGGTAATAACCTTCCCTCTTTGTTGCTGTGATGGCTACTAGCAGCTATATATTATTAGGAGACTATTTCATGGTCATTTGTGTATCACTGTTACATTTCTATTGATCTAATATTAAAAATATATATATCTTCAGATTATGCTTTATTAACGTGCGTGTATTGATCAGCACTTTTTGTGTAAAAACTGGAGAAAAATGAAAAAATAAGTTCATTGAAGTGTAATTCAAAGAAATTTAACAAAATGTGTTGTATTTTTAGGGTGTTCAGTTTGCTTGTACTATCAGCCACCTGCTAAAAACAGTTACCAATCTTCATGTATCTCTCGCCAAGCCAATGACCAAAACTGCTGTTATAGCTTTGTGCAAGATGATAGAACTTCTCAAAGGGATTCAGCATATGTACCATCGTCATTTTATGGCTGTATCAGAATCTGTTAATCATGTAATTCAACATCTGTCATACCGGGCCCTCAGTATAATTGCCACAGCAAAGGTAAATGTTCTGTGTAATGAAGTGACAATAAAAATTAAACTTAAAATTATTTCTGTGAAAAATTTAAAACAAAAAAAATTAAACTTCAAAATAGTAATGAATACTTAAAAATTAATATTGTAATATAATGAGCAAGTTGCTAGTATATAATTAGATTTTTTATGTTCCAGAAAGGCTTGGTTCAAGATAAAAGGTACAGTGAAAAACATTTGGATATCTTGTCTTCCTTGGTTCTAGCAGAGAAAGCATTACATGGACCAGGCACAAAAGAAAGACATTTGGTATTGCGGCTGGCCTTGTGTACTGCAAATCAGATGCGAACATTCCGTGAAGATGAACTTGTTCAACTGAGCACATTGCTTCGAAAATTGAATGTGATATGTGATATTCAAGAAAAATTAGCTGATGCTTGTGACTGTTCTTTCCTGTATTGGCATCGTGTTGTTTTACCTATATACTTGTCTCATGTATATGAAAGTAAATCTGATGTTCAAAATATTCTGGTAAGAATGTTTATTTAACACAGTATCATTTTATAACATTGTATTAAACATCAGAACTGAAAATTTCATTTTTCATTGTTTGTATGCTTTATTTATAGAAGTACTATTTAGTTTTAAAATATTAAACAGAGAATATCATAAATGATCTTAAAAAACAACCGTAACAATGTACCTGTATCTAATATGTTGAATACGTGATTGACAATATTTATATGCATTGATTACATAGTAACTTTTGAGAAGCCAATTGTGTTGTTCTTTCTGTAGCAAAGAAATAATCTATTAATTTTCAATTCAAAACATGCCATGCTTAGTAGCATGGAAACAATTATTTTCAAATTTTTTTTTCTTTCTTTCCTTCATTCTAAAAGTTTAAAAATATTTATATACATATGTGTGACAAAAATTTTATGTAATAATGTGTACAAAATCGTCGATGGAACTAGTATTTTTTGAATATATAGGTATATAAAAAGTAAATATCATTTGGTGCCATTGAATTGACAGATATCAGTGTTTACATTGTACATTCAAATATGTTTACTTTCCAAGTGAGATCAGAACAGATTTCCATGAAATGAACAAGTAATTTTGAACTACAACATAATGTATTAATCTTATTTACCTTTTCAATTTATTATATTGTTTTCTATATTTATTTCAGTACATGTTTTGTGCTTTACGAGATTGTGTGGTTGCAATGGAAAGAGTGAGACAAGACTCAGTAAGATCTATTCTGAAAGAATCTTTTGAAAAAGAAGTTACCAGATACTTGCATGAACAAGTAAGTTGTCCTCAAGATACGTACATCTTGCCTGTAATAATGAAAGAAATTGCTGTATTACACAGTACTATGTCAGGATTGGGAATGGCATTAATTCAGCATGCATGCTAGTCACTTAAGTCATAAAATTGACTTTTTGAAGAAAGAAGGCATTAACGTCACTTTTTTAATGTAAGTTTGTTGGTTTCCACTTGAATTATTGTATTCCAGTGATATTATAAAATGCATGAAAAATTCAATCTTAACAATGTACAGTAAAACCTGTCTAAGGCGGAACCTGGATACGGCAGAAACCTGCCTTCTCCAAAAATAATTATCAGAATGGACTATTTTGAGTGGAAAGTACACTGAATAAGCCAGAAACCTGCCTAACATAGAAACAAAGGAATTTGTAGTACGATTGATTTAAAATTACGAAAACAAATATTGTTTTAAAATTAAACGACTTATAAGTGTGTCACCATTGTACCATGAGACAGTGCTAGTCTGTAGCTTCCTCAGCTATCCTCATCCAAACTTTATATTTCCCATGCTACTTATGCGAAAGCTATTGTTTATTTGTAGTAGCGCTGACCTTCACATGCCTGTGAAGGAAGAAGGGATGCGAAAAGTGATCCTTTCAATTCTTGTAATGCGTGCTTTGAGTCCGATGGTTGTAAATATTTTCTGTTCAGTTCAATGAGTTGCAGGTTTTCGGTTAATAAAGTGTTTACGATGTCAGGCGGCAAATTGAAAGTGTTCACCCTTGTTGAGAAAATTTGACTAATTGAAGAACAGGAACAGAGCAACACTTCTGTCAAGGTTATGATTAAAAAATTTTAATTTGGGAAAACTGGAGTGTATGACACCTTGAAAACAAAGGCAAAATTAAGAATGCATGGTTAAAAGAAATTTGTTATAGGTGGTTGCCACAATATTCATGAGGACCTAGGTAAATAGCCGAAGCCTTATTCATCAGATGAAGTAATTTGTTTCTACAAATATTGAGGAAAATGAGATTTCTTTTACTTTTTATGGCATTCTTTGTTTCAATAGACATCTCGTTTCTATATGTCATTTTCTTTCTCTCTCCCGGGATGTCATCATTTCTTTAAAATTTACATTTTAGGAGAAATAAACTACTCGTATAACCTATTCCATTTTTGAACAATTGTGTATTCTGAATTGATGGTTTTATTACAAACCTGAATAAGCCGGAAACCTGTACAAGACAGAAGAAAATGTTGCACCCAAACGATTTCGGTTTAAACAGGTTTTACAGTACTTTTTTTGTTGAAAAAGTGAATATACTAAAACTAAAACTGGTCTTTAGCGTAGATACCAAAAATTTGATACAAGATACCAAGGCTACTAGAACTCTTTTATTGCCTACACAAGCTACCATAAAAAGTGCTCCAAACGCCTATCGAATATGTTTTGAATTTTATCACTTCATTTCTAAGACTAGTTTAAATAAGATATTTGGTGGAATATATGTGAATTATTGAAAATGATGCTATGTTATTGTCAAGGGATGTACTACTGTAACACTGTAACTAATTCTTGTACTTTTAATTTTGTTTAGATACAGTTTAACTGTTAAAATATAAATAATTATTTTTTACATCATAAAAGTACAATTCAACAAAAGGATGGTTCTTTAAAATGTTTCAGAGATGGATAAGTGTCCTCTACTGTAAATAGATTTTAAATAATTTTAAATTATTTGCCAATTGTCTTTAAAAAGAATAAATCATTGGATGTAGTGTAATGTTCAACATTTCTTCTGCTACTTAATTTTTATTTATAATTTTAGAATGTTTTATGTTAGTTTTCAAAATTACCACCGATAGTATTTTTCCTGATACATTACATACAGGTTTTTACTTTTTTATTTTATACATAAAATAAAAAATGAAACAACTGAAAAAAAAAGTTTTCGAAATTGAATATAGCAAATCAGTTGTAGGATACACAAAATCATAACAACTTCTTAGCAAGTCTATCTTTATCAAGCCTTCTTTTATGAATAGTATTATGTTTTTTCAAATGTGGTTATATGTATTTATGCTACCTTGAGATTTGATCAGATAGCAAAAAATGAACTTCAACTTTTTCTAAACATTTATACTTAAATCAGGGTGGCCACTTTCTGGATAATATAGAAAACTGAGAAAAATCATCATTGATCTGGAAAAGTTGGGGGAAAACCAGGGAATTTGTAGAAGAATGGTTAGAAGTCAGGGAAAAGTTTTAAGGGTTATAAAACTATACATTATTCTTTAAAAAATAAGTGCAACATTACATTAACAAACATTATTTTTCCCTCGGTTATTATTTGGTGAGAAAATATTGTTACATTGTACATTGTCATGGTAAAATCAGAGAGCTAACCAATCAGTATCTGGATAGCATTAATATTTTTTAGTAGGTGAAATTATGAATCTTATCAGGAAGAAATGAAAAATGCGCTGGAAAACGGAAAAGTCTGGGAAATTTGTTCCAGGAAGTGTGTGGCCACCCTGTAAATGATGTACTAAATTAATTTGAAAGTAACCTAAACTGAACTTCTGTTGTGTAGGTAATTCAGCCCTTGTGTCATGAAACAGAAACAAATTTAAGGTTACATGTCCATTCTCATCTCCAGTTAGATGATAGAAATCCATTTCGTGTTGGTATCGAAGACAATTCACCAATACTTCGACTGCGACCATTACGATTTTTTGATAAATACATTCATATCAAGGGTATGTTGATTAGCTTGTGAATATTATATTTTCAAGCTTATTGTTCAAGCATTGCATTTTGTTATTTCATATACTGTTTCTTCTGTATACATTTTTATTTTTACATTAATAAGTTGACATTTGTTTAAATAAAATTATTGCAGTGAATTATTGTCTTTTTCAGGCCATGTAGAACACTACTTGGAAGAAACATTTTACAATTTAACAACTGTTGCACTCCATGATTGGAAAACATATGGTGAAATGCGCACGCTCGCAAGATACAAATTTGGATTGGAGACTGTTGAAGATCATTTACCCAGTCAGACACTGGAACAAGTAATATTTTTCTGTGAACTGTACTGTCAGTTTTGTTTTTTGATCTGTAAAAAAATATACTAATTGCGCTTTTTTATCTTGCTTTTCTTTTCCAGGGTTTGGATGTCCTTGAAATAATGAGAAATATCCATATATTTGTGTCCAAATATTTGTATAATCTCAATAATCAAATATTTATTGAACAATCTAGTAATAATAAACATTTAAATACAATTAACATTCGACATGTTGCCAACTCTATTCGTACCCATGGTACTGGAATTATGAATACAACAGTAAGTTTACATTTTTCTAGAGTAGTTAACTGTTTCCTACAAATTATATTTATTTTGATAAAGAGTTATTGGGTTATGTTCAAAGAGACTGTCATTATATTATGATCATTTACCGTGTATCATTTATGTATATGGATAGATATGGCAAAAAATAGTCCCTGGAAGTGCACTAGAAAAATTTCATTTTTAAAATAAAATTTGGTGTTGTTGAATGATTTTATTTTCCTATTGACATTGTCTAACAAAAGTTTTGGTTGCAGGTCAACTTCACTTATCAATTTTTGAGAAAGAAGTTCTTTATATTTTCCCAGTTCATGTATGATGAACACATTAAATCACGTTTAATCAAAGATCTCAGATTCTTTAGAGAAAATAAAGCACAATTAGAGCAGAAATATTCATATGAACGTGCAGACAAGTTTAATAAAGGCATCCGAAAGTTAGGTGTAACAGCAGATGGACAAAGTTTTCTGGATCAATTTCGAATGCTCATAAGTCACATTGGTAAGTGATTTTCAGAAATGAAGGGCTCTAAAGTAAACTGTGGTAAGGGACATACCCCACAAATTTTTGCTATTGCAAATAGTGTCTTAAGGAATATGTAGAATCCAGATTACTGAGTAATTTCTGGTTCCCTTGAGAAGTAAAAGTACTGTGACTTTTTATAACTTCTCTATGCCACCGTTTTTGATTAAGTTGTAACATTTCATGTCTCATTTCTTGCTGATGTGTGAAAAGTCCATTAGTGTTGTTTACTAGCCCTTGCCCTTGGAATTATAAATTGAAATTAGTAAACTAAAATTGTTATTTTCAGGGGCACAGAGTTAATACTTTAATATTCCATGACTTTCTGCAGGTGGTCAATACAAAATGCTGAGCAACTTTGAGTTTACTTATTTATGTTAATTTTTTCTTTTAGGAAATGCAATGGGGTATGTGCGGATGATTCGATCAGGTGGTCTTCATTGCTGCTCAAATGCAATATGCTTTATTCCTGATCTTGAAGACATTGTGTGCTTTGAAGAGTTATGTGCTGAAGAAGGACTATCAATAACATGTCAAGAAGCAGCTAGGCGATTGGATCAAGTAATTTCAAACTTGACCCGGAATTTTGCTGAAGGAACTGAATATTTTAAGGTAGAAGCTACAAGATGTAAATACAGTGCAGTGAAACTTCCCTTGAACAGATAGCAGAGGGGAAAAAATAATTTGTTTGTTAGAGAGAAAAGTGTCTGCTAACAACAAGCCTGAGAGAGAAAAATTGTAAATGTCTCGCAAACATTTTTGAATTTAATATGAAATTATATAATTAGTACATACTAGTGCTTTATCAACAATCAAGAGTGACACTGCACCCAACACTGTAAGATACTCAAAGGGGAAAAGATATCAGCTCACCAAACAGGCCACATTCCACCCAACAATCTAATAAGAAATTAAATATGTGGCTTAAAATTCTTGTAAATGAATGAGAAGTGTGATGACAATACCAAGACAGAATTTAGAGAATTAAAAATAAAATAAGCACACGATAATGACAATACTTGGAAGAGAAGTATACTTGCAAAACGGACATGAGCTTGCTTGCTGTCCATTTAAGGGAGAACATATTTGTTGCTACTGGATTATTTCATGTCAAGTGGTCTAATGTTGGAGAAGTGCACAGTGCAACCATCTCGAATTTTCATAAAATTTTTAATTCAGAGTCCGCTTATCTCGGAGAAACTTTTATAAAGTTGCGGCTTTATAGGTGAAATAAGTTTTAAGACTTAGCAGTTTGTTTGACCCATGCGGTGTTGTCATAGTACAACTATAAGTTTTGGGATACAATATTTCCTTCTCCTTTATTGATAAACTAATGAAATTGAGCTTACTTATACAACTTTTTCCACTCTATGTAATGAAGCTAATATCAGTTTTGCCTTCATTAACACTATTCTAGAGGCTTCAATATGTGACCTTTCTAATGAAATATGTTTTAAATAATTTCATAAAAATACTCTTCTGTAAACTTGGGTTGAAAATATATTGTGGATCTTTGTGCAAAAATCATCAACTTTATACTTATTTTGCAGTAATGGCTAGAATTGTAAAATTATGCATTAAAAACAATAAGATTTTGAAAGCTAATTTATGTATTTGTTACTTCAATATTGTGTAAACTACAATGTGGAGCTCAATTTTTTTTGTAATATTTTACATTTTGGACATTTTATGCCTCTGATGGATAATCAATTTATCTTTTTTAGAAGCTGCAAATCTGCTCTTTCTTATGAGATAGTGTTGAAAGAATTGCTAGAAGGTAATTTTCTGTAAAAGATGTGTGAATATACCCTATTTTGGGGATTTTTGCCAACATCCTCAATTTTAAACTTAGTTTATGAAGTAATGGTAAAAGCTAGGAGATTAAAATTATATGTTCAAAACAATGCCCTGTTGATATGTTAAGAGTCAAATTTCACTTTTCTTATTCCAATATTAAGGAAGATATTCAATGTTAATATCTCTAATTTTTTTAAAATCATTTTTCCAGTGACGTTGCTGCAGTGTTTTCACTGTGTTAATAAAAGTAAAATTGATATTAGTTTCATTATATAGAGCAGAAAAAGTTGTACTAGTAAACTCAGTTTCGTTATCTTACAGATAACTAAGAAGAAAATATTGTATCCTGAAGTTCTGTAAATCTTATGGTCATACTGTACAACGAAGATGCTAGGGAAAAAACCAAACAACAACACTGAATCTCAAAAACTATTTCAGTATTTTACAGAAGTTTCTTAGTCATGTGGAACTTGGCATATAAAATTTCATCAAAATCCAGAATGGTTGGGCGGGGAGCTGTGGACCACTTCATATGAAATGACACGTATGAAAATAAATGAAGAAGAAAAAAAAAGAGAAGGGGATGAAAAAGAGGTGTCTGTCTGTTTGCTTTACAAAGAATTTTTGCTAGAAAGAAGTATAAAACACATTGAAAGAAATAGAGAATAATTGCGGAATGTGTATTTGCGATAGAGATGTCCATTAGAAAGAAGTGTCTGTTAGAAGTTTCATTGTACTTATTGATATTTTGGTGAATTTTTGCATATATTTGTGTTTTGTTACTAATACAAAAGAAATTAATGAAGTATGTTTTTTGTTTCTTTTGATTTCATGTAGCTACTAGTTGATGTTTTTGCACCAGTGTTTCGGGACCCTAAAAATATGCATCTGAGGAACTTTTACATGATTGTTCCACCATTAACTATAAACTTTGTAGAGCATTCCATTACATGCAAGGAGAAGATGAGCAAAAAGAACAAAATGGGAGCTGCATTTACTGATGATGGATTTGCTATGGGTGAATGTTTTTTACTACTTGTAAATTCCTTTGACATTTAAGAACATCATTTCTCTTATTAACGGTTGGACAAGTTTTAAAACACGTGTACTTCATTGTCAATATTTAAATTAATATAGATAACATTATTAAGATTATTATAGAAAAGCCAAAATATTACCATTTATAAACTGGAAGAAATTACTTTTAGTGAAATAAATAAAAGAAAAAACATGATACATTGCCATTTGTTCGGACTTATAAATTAAGCCCGTTTATATTAGCTCTTTTATAAATCTCTCCGACCTGCGACTGTGGCACGTTCGCAACATTTTGGCGGTTTTTCAATTGGAGGGCACAGAAGAGACATTTTGGATAGAAACAATGAAAACATAGTTGGCTAATGTCATGACACTTTAACTATTTAAGAGTCTTACAAACTTTCCAAGAAACTCAAGTGACACAACAATAAGTATGGTAGATATTTACATTGTTTGCATGCTCTTCTGTGTCGGATGGTACCTTTTGCATGTGACTTCTCTCTTCAGCACTATACCCACTGCGCTACGAGCACACTCGCAAAAAGTTGGAGAAGACAAACATTTAGTGCATATTGAAATACTTTAATACATTATTAAACTATCTAACAATCTGAAATTATAAATTGAATATGATAGATATTTATCAATTGTTAATTCCAGTCATGCGCATGTTGCCAAACTTGTTAAAAGAACTTGTGCCCAAAAATCTGTCTGTAATGAAAACTGAAGGAAATTTGAGACTTCTGAGGAAAATTAAAGTCATAATTAGTATTTCAATTCTGACTTTTATGTTTACAGGAATTGCATACATATTGAAACTTCTTGATCAGTACACAGAATTTGATTCATTACACTGGTTCCAGTCAGTAAGAGACAAGTACAATAAAGACAAATTGGCTCTTACCAAACAAAAATCAGTTGCATCAAGAGATGATGAAAAATTGCAGCAGACAATGACACTAACTGCTAGAAGATTGGACATGTATTTACAGGCAAGTTCTGGTGTTTTTTCTGGAGCCATTAAAATGACTGATTGTGAATGATTGAAAATGAAATAATTATTTCTCTTCCACAGGAATTTGATTTGCTGTACTACAGTCTGAGCAGTGCCAGAATATTCTTCCAAAAGGATAAAACTGTACCAGAAGTGAATCCAAATGCTGAGTAATGTAAATCATTGAGAGTTAGGACTGATGAGAAACTGCCACATAGTATTGTATATTAAATGTAATTCCATTATAAAATCTTGTAATATGAATTATGATGCTCATTTGTATATTATATGAATTATTAAAATAAAAATATATCACATTATACATTGTTGAGTTAATATTCCCGAAAAGAAAAAGTAAGGAGTTTGTTGTTATGCTCTTGGGAGATACATATCGTTTATAAGCACCTGTCATGACATTTCTAACAAACGAAAGAAAAGACGTGTATTAAGAGTTATTTAGAAGTTTTATAATAAAATGCGGTTATCATAACCTGCTTATAACCTACACGCGCATCGTGAGCGTACGAGGATTCAAAACACGAGGGTGTCGACCTCGAACTAGGTTTGTTATTACGCGCATGCGCGTTCGTCAAAGGATCTAGGTCGCTTTTCAAAAAGTGTGTTTGACAGGTGCATCGCCTGAAATCTCAGGAAAAAGTGTAATATGTGTCCAGTAACTATTTTTGCATTATCTCAAAATAGTTGTACAGTGAAATGTGTTTGAATGCTTCGAGAAGGCGTGTCGTAAAACTGGACAGAACTATAAATGTGGAGTAAAATGGAAGCTACCTGAAAGTTGGAAGTAGCACTGGAAGGTATACAAACAACATGGCTACGTTACCATCCTAAAGTACGGAAAATGCACGCGGGCTTGCGAATGCTGACGATACGTTGGGGAAATGTTCTGTGTATTTTGTTTTATGGGGAAACCAAACCTGTCATTAAAAATATGCCATAATGCTGAAATCTGGCCAGAAGAGGCCTAATAACTCGAGTAAGACAAGATCCACGGTTGGTTCTGACTCGGCTGAGCATTGGAGACAGGGAGTTCGTGAAACTGTACTTACTGCGCGATCAGATGGAAGTTTGAACTTTTCAATCCATGGAGGTTCGGACAATGGAGAATTTGCGTATTTGAGTGATATCGTACAAAACAAAGTTAACTATGTCAGTGGAAAGTTAAATGACGGCGATGTTGTGTTGGAGATACAGGGACAGAAGGTTGCAGGCTACACTCAAAGAGATGTTGTGGCGTGGTTAAATCATTGCTGCAGGAACGGAAATCCAGTCGTCCTTAAAACTGTAGATGCCTGTAAGTACTCAATCGTGTAGACGAGTATTTAAACATAGATTCTCACTTATCACATCAGTACTTAACCATATCTGTCGTCCCAATCCAAGCTTTCATTTTTGTATAGAGTTGTCTAAGTATACTTAATCACCAGAAACTGCATAAATGTGTTTAGAACAAGAGTTTATTGATATTTCTGAATGACTAAAGAATGCTCAGAGTCCAAACTTATGATGTTTTGTGTAAACTGAATGTTTCCTTTGGTAAGATTTCTTATGATATGAGAATGACACTTTTGAAATTTGATTGAAATTATATAATTGTTTGTAAAAAGTTTAACAATTGCTTTTACTTTAACATTTTTGTAGTCTGATAAGCATGAGAAATTGGTGTGTACTTTCCTATCAAACATTTTAAATGAGAATAATTTCATAGGTGACACATCTTTTTAATAAGATTTTTGTCTAATAACCTGTTAGAAAATTTCTAAAATTATTTCATGGTAATAATAGAATTGACTCAAAATGTCATGGGAAATATTTTTTTTTTAACTGATTGAGAAATTTACAAATGAATATTATTATAAGTAGAAAATATGAACATAGCCTAGTATTGAAATGGAGAAATGTCTATTACATATTTGTCCTGCATACCGGGAAATTGGGAATCAAGCTAGCAAGATGTGCAATACTTCCTTTGCAATTAAAGTATTGGAACGCATTTGTGTCTTGACAGGCCTAAAATCACCGAGTTGAAGATGAAAACCTAGCAATCTAGTCTTTTGAAATATTTTTATGATATCATTAAATAAAAATACATTCTTTTAACATTTAAATAAACTTTTTATTCACTACAATGATTGAAGTCATTGGAAAATTTACATGTGATTTTTTTTGTCTTTGAAATGCATCATGCTAATTGCATAATGAATATCTTATTAATTTGTTGTGTAAATAGTTTTAAATTTTATCACAAAAAAATAGTAAGGCCTAATAATTTCTATGTGCTTAATAGTATTCTTATGACAACTCTGAACCTTCCCATTTTTCTTACCCTTTTCTCTTCATTTTATTTGTTTATTTTTCAAATGTGCGTGATTGACATGTATCAAATCCAATGTGTTAGCCCAATAGGTGGTAAATGAATGTGTTAAAAAGATAAGAGATCTTCTATTTCTGTTGTTTTATTTTTCTTGCTTATCATCAGTGCATTAGAAAAGTGACATGTCAAATATTGTCATTTCGCAGGAGAACAGATTTTCTTATCAGAGCCATTTATATATGGTTGTTACAAAGTGTAGGCTTACAAACTGGCTGTTTCTAAGTTTCCTTTATTAAATATTTTAAAATAAAATAAAAATACAATTTTTTATCATATATTCTCATATCACAAAAATTATGGTTTTTGAGTTGTGTTTCTTTTCTTGTTCACTTATAATATGTAAATATTAAAGTATTTAAGCTTTGTTCATATTTAATTATAATTACTACTTTTAACTAAGGTTTAGTTGTTTTGTTTGTAAAGTATTATGTTCTTAAAAAATACTCTTTTCATTAAAGATACATTTTTTTATGAATCATGGGGTTCACAAAATACTATATTGTACTACATTGTATGTCTATTTCGGAATATTGTTTGAAAATATGTTTTTATTTTTGTTAAAATTTTGCACGTGGTTCTTGCTATATCGGAATGCATTGTAATGGTTGCTTTTAAACTCCTTTGATTCTTTGATATTATTACTGTTCATATTTTATCCTGTAATTATGGACATTTCATTGTTTTTTAATTTGTTTTTTTAATTATTGATGGCATTTTTGTGATGTCACCTTGATGATGTTTTTTTTATTAATGCATAATGTAGAGTATAAATGAGATCCAACACTTTTGTTGAAATGTTTGAAAGAGTGAGGTACATCAAAATTAAACATTTTATAATGTCAATAAAATTCTGTTTCTGGGCCCTGAATTGTTGATGTTCCATGAAAGAAATAAACATGTTTCAAAGTTTGATGTGCATCCTAGAGAATAAATTTCAATGTCTTCCTGAAATAAGTGTACACTGTTTAGGTGGGTTTGCATATTGCAGTGAAATGTGATTTTTATACTTTATTAATAATTGGTACTAAAGACTAGTAGCTGTAAGGTGTAAGTAAAATGGAATCTTGAAGGAAGTTGATATGTTCAACTAAAATTAGGTATGAATTTTTATTTCTGATTATATATATCTATGACCAAGCATGTTAATCAATATAATACTGCAATATGATGTTAGGAAGTTTTTAATTAAAAGACTAACAGCTTTCATACAGCATTGACTGGTTAAAGACACTTGTAAAGCGTTGGAATAATCATAAAACGAAAAGGCATAGTTGTAGAATTCGTAGTTAAATTCCACATAATACTTTGTTTTGGAGAACTTTAAATGGTTCATATTTTCAAGAAACTTTGATATTATCCAAGATTACATAATTTTAATTTACAACCCATTATCTACAATTTCATGTGTTTGATGTAACATAAATTAAATTTGATTTTGACAGGACTAAATGTGCAATAAGTGCTTTAGTGTTTGGAGACACCCAAATTTGAAAATTGCTTGAAGATAAACATTCATGTGACACTTGTTTAGTTTTGATGCATCTCAGATTGATAAATGTGGGTATTAGACATTTATCCTTTAAGTTAATGTTTTGAATTTTGAGTGTAATTTGTTTTCTATATAAATATAAATTTATGTAGATATATATTAAATACAAGTGTGGATAAGTAAAGCTACTTATGTGATGACATAAATATTTCAGTTGTCTTGTTTAATTCTGTGATATCGAAAAGTTGGTGTGCTATTTTCAAAAACATTAATCTTTATTAACGTGTAATTCATATTTATATTGCTTTTATTTATAGGCAAAAAAATTGTCAAACTTGAGTGTCTTGAGAAATTTTTTATATTCATTTGAAAATTTCTTTGAAGTTCATACTAATAGAATAAACGAAAATTCATAGACAAGGCTGCACTTACAATAGACAATATGTTCACAATATCTGGTATAAAGACCACTTAATGTATTTACTGTTTTTTAAATATCCATAGTTTTAGGTGTAATTATAGAATTCATTTCAGTTGATTATTACATATTGACACATGTAGCAATGTACTGGAAGACGTGTCTGCTTTTTTCCCCTTTAATTTCTCTCAGTCCCATTTTCTGCCAAATCTCAGAACATTCCCATTTGTTACTTTCATATTTCTACTTGAACATTTTTGCTCTAAATTGTTTTAATTATCGATCCCTTGTAAATACCATTATCAAATGTGAGAATTTGTACCCGGTGTTTATTTAAGGAAGAGAATAGAAAAATCCATATTCGTCATTCCACTTTCTCGCTTCCGGTCGTGAACCTGTAAGGCCGCCTGGCCGGGAGGGGGCCCCGCCTTCCCGAGGGGCGTTCGCGAAGCCCCGCCGGGGGCGAAGGGCGCGGCGCGGCGCGGCGCGGCGCGGCGCGGCGGGCGGCGGTAGCACGTGCATGGCCTCGGTGCGTGCGTCCCGCGACGCGCCCCGGCCGCGGAGCCAAGTGCGCGGGACGGGGGTTGCACTGCGTGCGCACGTGAGGCCGTGCCCCGCTGACCTCCCTCCGAGCGGATCGATGCGAGGGGCGAGAAGGGTGCGTTGTTGCGTGGGTCAGTCACCCTCGCCGCCGCCGCTGCCTGCACTCTCCGGGAGGGCGCCTCAACGCCGCCGGCGCCGCGCCTGGGAGGAGTTGCCGAGGCGTGGACGGCCTACGTCGACTTCGTTTCGAACGATTCAAACGAACGATTCAAACCGCCCGACCCGAGGCGAAACCCGAATAGAGTGGATGGCGATGGGACGTTCGGTATTCGCCCTACCCACCGCGCGTTGGTCTTTCGGACACATGGAAGGAAGCATACATTCGCCTAACACTTCAGCTGTTCGGGATTGGGCGAGCACAAATACATTTCTTGTTTTGAATTAAAAAAATAACAATTTGCGGGTCCCAGTAAAGTCTGATCGTGGGTCAAGTTGCTCGAGCATCCTTCCTTTGTGGATGACAGGATTTCAAGAGACCGTCACTACTTCCAATTTGATTTTGGGCGACCGTTATAATTGTATTTCTGAGTTTTTCTATTATTATCCGGTATCAGAAGGCGATTTTAGAATTGCACGGTAGTTTGAAGAACGGTTAAGGTCTTTGACGACTTTGGAGGGCGTATAAAAGATGTTTTAAGCGAATTTAAAATAATCTGAATGACAAGAATTTAAAATGAATCACAATTTTTAATTGGATCTAAACTCGCCAAAAAGTGTGACCAAATGGAAGATGGCTTGAAAAGAATCTTGCTGGAATATTTATTATTAGTCCTAGCAAGCTGTTTCAGCTCCTGTTCTTTAAAATTATGCTCATATGATAGAGTCGGTTTAGAAGTGTTTGATTATTAGCAGCATTCCTAAGCATAAAAGCTATTATTATACAATATGTGTTCGGGTGTAAATAGTGACAACTGATTTTTGATGTTTCGTAGGAAATGCAATTTGATCATACGGCTTTACACAAAACTAGCAGCATAAGAGCAATAACGTGATAACTCTATCACTGCCATTTGTTATCCGTTGTTGTCATTTGGATTAAAGACAGATTAACCATCTCCTTCATAACGACCAATTATCTCAATTTCATCCAAAGAGTCAGATACCATCCCAACGCCTCACAAATCATGTGATTTTAAATTGCAAGTACGTCCTTACCCTCGAGTTAAAATGATGCCCAGGAAAAGTCTCTCTCAGCCCTCACCCCCAACATGGGCACTTTGACAATCGTGTTTATTTCGTTAATGGATAGGAACTAAACATGTAAACAAGTAAAATATTCACAACAATGTTTTATGTCAATAATTCGTTGTATGGACAGGACCGTAGTGGGTAATTCACGTGAATGAAACCAGGTAAACTTAGTGGTTTGGAGCGCTCGAGTAGTATTATTTAGCAACATACCAATTCTACGATGAAAGTTGCTGTCAGGTGCTATTAGACAGCTCCAACAAATGATCCTGTGTGACGTGCGGCGAAATTAATTCGGGGGTTAAATCGCTAAAACTAAAGTGACAATATTTCATTTAAAATGGGTTTGGTTTGTTTCTTCTGGTTTCACATAGAAAAAGACATGATCTTTCCTAGGTACGAAAGAATCAGCTCGAATTTGCTAATGAATCTCTCATCTAACAATTTAACTTTTACCACTTTTAAGTTTTGGAAGAATGATCTCATTTCCATACTAGATTATGCATTGCCAAAGTTTGTATGGATTATACATTTTCTTGTATTTCTGAAAAATTGATTGCAATTTCTTGATGAAATTTTTTCCCTGGGTGATGTCCCTCTGGGAAATTCCGATGTAACGAGTTGATTTTTGCCTTGTAGCCTGAATATGGGGTAATTGCGTTTTCTCGTTCAACGACCAAATATGCAAAACGTTTCTTCTATTTCTAATATATACGTCTTTCTGCAGGCAAACAAAGTTAGAAAACGTTATCAGTTGCCCTGTGTTACTTGGAGTTCAAATGTGTATTTTCAACACACGAAACTGCCAAAATATCGTCGACGACCGATTAGTTACATATCAACGCATCGTGTATTCTACGTATTCTTCATGTATTGTATTACAATACTGTATTTGAATTGTAATCCACGACCTTCTGGTTCTGAGCCGTTTGTAATACATTACTTTAGCAGTAGGCGAGAATGGAACTTACGACGCCGTGACTTCGAAATTAGAGGTCAAGTCTGTTGTTGGGTCTTTCAGCGTTGATCATTGGAGGGGAGGCCCGTGTGGGTTAGCTTGCAGAAGCCGAGTGCACTGGAAGTCGAAGTTTGAGCTGTGCGAAAAGTTCAACGGACTGTTTTGCCTGAAGATTGACTGCGTCTCGATACGCGTTGTGCTAAGTCCTCCATGGCGGTTAATGTCATTTACTCGCACACCATTTACGTAGCGCAGAGAAAACATTTTAAAGGTGGAGATTTTTCGATAGAAAAATTATTGTGGTACCCTGATACCGAAAAGGTGGATTATCTTTCTCCGTCGAGTAGAAATTTTCTTCCTCTAATTTGTTGTGTAGTCAGAATTCATGTTTTGTGAGTCTTTGATGCCGAAAAAGTCGCTTTCGACATAAATGCTGTCTCCTGCTTGTGAGAAACGATACCGTCTAAATCATTCATAGGATTTTATCCAAAACGTTATTTCCCAATGGGTCTGGTTGATGACGCAGCTCCTTTTAGGGGTACTATACATGAAACGTCAAAATTTTCTCAAAAATGGCTCAAAATTCTTTCCGATCAGGGCCAGGTCCGATTTCCGTGGAACTCCGAATTTTCGAAAATTGCAAAAGTTCGTTTTTTTTACGTCTTCCTACAAATACAATATTGAAAATTAGTCAGAATTGACGATCACGTTCAATATTGAAGACTTCTTTTCTAAATGAAATCCGTTCCGCAATTAATCTTCCAATAATGCCATGTATAATTTTGGAAAATATATTTTTTGCGTAATATTGAGTGAAATAGTGACAACTTTTTAAAAATTATGCCTTCAAGATTTTATCATCTGCTAATTTTGTATTCTCGAACTTGTCCGATTCTCATTAAAACATCTGAATTTTTCAGAATTCTAAATGTTTAGTATTCTGTTTATAGTGCCAGGAATGTTATGTCGATTGAGGCGGTTGGTGTAGGCGTTATACTGCTTCCTATAACTAAGTTCCTGTGTTCGAATCCGAGCTTGGTCAGATATTTTTGCGGGTTGGAAATACTTTTGCGGGTTCAAGTATTATATGTAACCGTTATAAATAACGCGAGAAAGTTCGTGGTACTGCAATGCCACTGGTTTCAGAACAAAGATTGGAAGGTCTTGATTTAAAAAAAAAATGTTTCGCATTAGCACAGGTTGATAAAATGTTCCTCACATGATTTTAAATGATGTAACAGTCCTTTTTTGAAGATACTTTCTCTTAAATCTCACTTTGACATTACACGATACAGGTAGCTAGCTCAAACTCGGAACAGTTTCCTTTACTTACCCTATAGTCGTATTGTCAAAAACTGTTAAAGAATGCTGTTTTTAACTTTCATTAACGCGTACCTTGTAAGGTTATACGGTTTCTACCGTAGAAAGAATGCGAGGATAAGAGCAGCCTAATTTAATTTCGCGTTGTCATTGGACGTTTTGCTTATTACAAATATTTGATTGTGGTATTCCTCCTATTCTCATACTCAGTGCGGTGCTGCTTACAGCACACGGCGTCATACAGCGGCAAATCCTCAAGGAAGAGGCCGCCTGCCATTAAATACTTGCTATTTACGTATTGTGTAATGGAACAGCAACTTTTTTATATTGGTATGTAAAGAATATATGTACATACTGTGTTATTGCAGTATTCGTGAATACTGTTTTTGTTAAAATATTTAATTGAAGTATTAAACGAGAATATTTAATTTGTTGTTCTTCAGCAGTGTGCTTGCTACTTATGGGAAAACCGTTTTGTTTGGCTTTGTTGAGCAGCATTTTTGCTGATGCAGATCACTAGTATTTGAGATAATGACTCTGCACTAGTAATTAAATTATTAATTAGCAATGGCGAAAAATAAATAATGGGAGGATATTTGAATTCTGGGAGTTAAATTCGTATAATTTTTTTATATTGCTTAATGAAACAAAACGAAAATAGAACACTATCTAAAAA